AGTCTAAAATTAAAATTCTAACCCTTTTAGTATAGTATAAAGTTTCGGAAAAGGTTTCGGGGTTTCGGAAAGGGTTTAGGGATTTTATATATAGTTTCGGGTTTCGTTACCCAACTCTAGTTTAGTCCATATCTAGTTAATATGTATCACAATGTTATTTCGATTTACAGAATAATTGTACGCCCTAATGTGATTTTTGTAACACAACTTTAAGTTTTACACTGCAATAAAATATACAGTATATAAATTAAGCATATATACACAACAGGTAATTGCATAGATAATCTAATACGTATTAATACTTTGGTAGAAATTACTTGATTATCTTAAGATTTGCAAACTTACTTTTTGCTAGTTATGGATCATAGTAATAATATAGAAACTAGTGCTAGTATAGATAAAAATAGCTTGTTTGAAGGAAAGACATTTTTAAACTGGACTGATTGTGATTTATTTTTAGAAGGATGGGCTAAAAATAAAGGGTTTAAAATAATAAAAGATCGTGTAACCAAAGATAATGATATTATTCGAAGAAGAACTTATATATGTGAACATGGGAAAAAATATCAAACTAAGTCTATGCAAGAAACTAGCACTAAAAAAATTTTATGTGCTTGGCATCATGTCCGCATAACAACAATATAGATAATAAGGTTTTTGTTACTAAAATCGTAGATAAACACAATCATGAGTTAAATGTAGCAAGAATTCAGTTTGAGCAAAATAAAAATTTCACTCAAGATATGTTAGAAGATATTAAGTTTATGACTGAGCACTGTAATATGGGAGCTACAGCACAAAGAAAATTCTTAGAAGGAAAGTATCCCTTACAACCTATCTATGGTCAAGATTTATATGCTATGATTCGCAGATTTAAACCCTCTAGTAAAGCTTTATTAAATGATGCGGCAACAATGTCTAATTGGATTGATGAGCAAAAAAAAGATGATGCTAGATGGGTTATTGCAAGAGATTGGGATGATGACAATGCACTCACACGTTTGTTTTGGATGACACCAGACCAAGTTGAAAATTGGATCCGATATAGTGATTGTATATTTAATGATATTACTAATAAAACAAACAGGTATATATATATATAATTAAACCTACTGTTAAATTGTTTAGATTTATATAGATTATAATTTTAATTCTAATCTAATCTAAAGTTTAAATTAAAATTTTGATTCTAATTAAAACTAAAAATTTAGATTAAAATTTTAATTTAATCTAAATTAGAATTTAGCGTTTAATTTTTTCTAAATATCCATTTTATTTACTATAACAATAGATATGGCATGGGGTTTTCACTGTTTGTTGGTTTTAATAACTACCGACAAAACATATTACTTGCGCAAGGATTATTAAGTGATGAAAGTTGTGAATCACATGAGTAGCTATTCAATGAAATTATTAAAGCAACTAGTATAGAACCTGCTGTTATACTAACTGATGCAGATCCAGCAGTAGACTTAGCAATCAAAAAAGTATTTAAATCAACCTATCCTATACATTGTGCATTTCATATTTCACAGAATCTTCACAAACATATACGAAAATCTTTAGACACACAGTATAATCAATTCCTTAATGATTTTTATAAATGTAGAAATAGTTTGGTAAAAGTTACATTTGAAAATAAGTTTACTGAACTAGTTAATAATTACCCAATAGCTAAGTCTTATCTTGATAATTTATATAAATCCAAAGAATATTGGGCGCATTCATATACAAGCTTCAAGTTTACTGGTGGTATGATCTCAACATCTAGAGTAGAGGCTACTAATGCATGCTTAAAAAAGTTTTTACACAATTCTAATGTATCACTTAATGAATTAATACAAGAAATTCATAATATGCTTGATCGCCAAGATATATAAATTTTGGAAACTTGCAATTCCTTCTATTAAAAGCAATGATCATACCAACTTTTTGTTTACACGCATAGATAAATGTTGTCAAACATATCTTACTCCAACTATGCTAAAAATGCAAAGAGATGAAATTAATCAATCAGTTTATTATTCGGCACAAACAATTAGTTTAGAAGTTTTAAAAAGTATAAATGAGGTAAAAATAAAAGGAGTTATTTTGTAAATTTAACTTTTTTCATATAGTTTAATTTTTTTTTTATGATTTAATTTTTTCTTTTAGGATAATACAATGGTTAATATTGAAGATAATCCCGAAGATCAACAAGCAACTATTCATCAAATTCTAAACATAGTTGGTGAAGAAAATATATATGAAATATGGCTAATTAAAGTTGAAACCTCTTTAATTACCAAACATTATGTTGTATTGTTAAAGAATAATACACATCTCTGCTCATGTCTTACTATAATTCGGCAAGGAATTGTCTGCAGACATTATTTTCAAGTAATGTTAAATACCAATATGGCAAAATTTCACATTCGTCTTATTTTATCCCGGTGGTATTATGAAAATATGGATGCTTCACAAGAAAAATTTATTACGGCTGATAAATATGAAGATGGTGATGAAGTACCTAACCAACCTATTCCATATCTTTCGCCTTTCTATAATCAAAAAAAAGATTTTCTACAAGAAAATCTTAGTATTCTCGAACAAAAAATAGTTTATGGAATGTTACACAGTACATACAAAAAAGCAATTAACAAGGCATTACAGTCAAAGTCTAGATCTGATCGTCTTATAAAAATGTTAGATAATTTTGTTGAAGAATGTAATCAAATAGATCAATTAGATAATCAATTAAACGACCAATCAGATGACCAGTTGGATGAACAATCAGATGAACAATCAGATAATCAGTCAGATGATTTTGATAGTAATAAATCAGTAAGTAATAAAGAGTTTCAATTAAAAAGCGAAAAGGCAAAGGACGACCTCCAGGTACTAAAAGAATTAAAGCTTCACATGAAAAACAGCATTATAGTACTACTAAACAAAAAAGAAGTTGTAAAAAATGTGGCGGTATTGGGCATTATCAAAAAAAATATTCCATTGATTCTTAAATGTTTTTTATCTTTCTTTTCGTCTTATATACAATAAATAGAATAGGATTTTAAAGTATTTTCAGGTCTAACTTTATTTGAGCCAAAAAAATTATTAAGTTCATTTAATTTTACAGTTATTGTATATCCAATTAATTGGATTTTTATAAACTCGATATTCTAGTTATATAAGAGAAGTGAATTATCTTGCTAATAAATACTTTGTATAAGTATCATTGATATTTTAATTATGTACTGGAAATTTTAGCAAAGCAGGATACAAGCTAACAAACGTTAATATTTTCAGACCTATTATTGAATTATAATTAACTATTATATTAATTTAAAAAGATCCGGCCTTTTATAAAAAATTACTAAAACATTTTATAGTATTTATCATTTAAGTGCAAGACAAACATAAAATTCAACTCTCTAGAGTAATTTCTAAAATAGGGAAATTTAAGTTAAGCAAGGATAATATGGCTTGTTTAGTTAAATCTAATACTAAAGCATTTTTCATTTTTAGATCGCATATATACTGGCAAATTTAAAGTAATAGGTAAGATTATTAATGATTATTAATTTATTAAAGAGATAATGGCTAATAATATAATTGGTATTTACAATTCTACCTTATCTAGAACATAATACCTAGAACATAATACATAATATTAATATATAGTTCTTACAAAAGCGATAGTACCTTTTATATACCGTATGCCACTGCTTACAGTATCCCCCAAAAATAATACCCCCCATGATTACAGCTGTTCTCATAAATTTTGGGACATCTGGTAAAAAATTGACCGAATGATTTTAGACCGATTCGATAAGTTT